CCCCAAAACCCCAAAACCCCAAAACCCCAAAACCCCATCCTAACAATAATATATAGAAATAAGTCTTTTAATTATATTAAGACTAGTCCTTTTCATTAAATGGAGCAAAACTTCCAATGTCTTCAAGATCAAGTTCTATACTCGTGTTGTTCATCTTGGACTGGTCAGAGAGGTTACATTCTCCTTCTGCTGCAGAGAAGTCAGGATTTTGGATAGATAACTCGATTCTGGAAGATAGTTTACCACTGTTTAGGAATCCTCTTTCACTACCTTGCCCTGAGAAAGTATCTGGAAGAAGCCCATTCTCTACATCGCTCTTGTACAGAGATAAAGCTGGGCTACAGTAATTCATCTTAGCAATTGAAGTGAAAGGGCGAGTCAGCTTTGCCTCATTATTATTCTCATAATCCGACCTTGCTCGGGATAACGGGCAATTATTTTTCATCATACCGCCTACTAATGTTTCTTGAAATTTAGATCTTCCATTCCTTAGATTAAGTTTATTTAATATTATCTTTACTGACAGATTCTACTCTGATGTGTTCCTTGTTAGACTGGCCATCTATCGTAATGTTTCTTATGGCATTTCCGATACTAAAAGAGTTGCGGTTCACTACACCAATATGTTCATCAACAGAGTTTACATATGAGTCCATAATATTACTTTTTATCAAGCTTTTATTGGAACTTCTTTTTAAAAAATCTGATTTGAATCCTTCGCTGCTTTCCATCCATTGCCTTTCATCCTCTGAAACCTCAGAAGGGGTTTTAATATCGTCTAGGAGGCAGTTCACCTTCATTACAGGTATCACATGGAGGTCATTGGTTGACTTCTCTTTAACAATCTTCATGCCTGCTTTCCTACACAATCAACAATATAGCTTACTTCTCCAGTTTTAATTTGGCTGATTGATATAGCTTGCTCTTCGTTGGCTGCTTTCTGAGTGAAATAATCTTGCTTTTCTTATGTCTGTTATAGAACGAATTCCTAAAGGATAATCATCTTAAACTTGCCTATTCACTTGGTTCTTGCTGCTGATTCCCTTCCTTGGTTTGTGGTACGACAACTTTATTATAGAAGAGGATGCCTTTAGGGATCTTTTCGGTAAAGTGTTAGTTAGTTTTGAATTTTTGATATCTATTGGCTTCATTTTCTTGCACTTAGGCTTCCCTGAAGGTTATGATAAGATTACTAGGTAGAAACGGCTTTTGAGGTTGCAAGCGTGGTGCAAACTTTGGTTTAAGCAGCTCCTTCATCGCTGGGGCGTTCTATATTTCGCTATAAGAGCAATTCTTACCCTTTGGTTATCAAGATTCTCTTTAAAACTGAACTTTATACCTCTACTATGGAAACAAGAGTTAGAATAAATTTTATGAAGAAAAAGGAAAATTAGAAATTTGCTCCAAAGTCTGCTGGATCTCAGAGCTTTTCCTACATCCAAGCAGGAAATTAAGCTAGGTGAAATCTGGGCTAAATTAACTTCATGTCACAATAGATCGTTAACACAAATATTTGGTAGTATCCTACTTTGAGCTTCAAAGCCCTGATGAAGACTTCTTTCCTGGAGCAGGGGGATTTTCGAACTTTTTCGACTCGGAATCAGAGAGTTCTTCAACTTTCTTCTCTTCCCTAATAGCTGTTCTGGATGGGTGGAAGTTGGCGGAGTAGCCACCTACCGTATTGCGAGTTACAGGCATGTCATCATTACAGTAGATTAATGCCCACTCATCGATAACTTCTATGGTCTCAATTTCTCCTTTGGGAGGAGTAATTTCAGTCGATGCATAGCTAAGTGTAGGCTGGAATTTGTTAATAGTTACTCTATATCAAGAAATTAGCCAGGATTATGAACAAAAGTATTTGATTTTTAGAGGAGAAAACTTGTAGAGATATTGCTCTTTGCTATTGAAGATTTTGTTTCAAAAGATAATCGAATAAAACCAGGGTCAATAAAACATGATCGATATCAAGAGATTTTATTGAACAGGTGGTTTTTATGAGATGCTAAATACAAGTAGTTTTAATATTTGATATCTTCATTCAGCAGTACAAAATTTCTTTTGATTTGGGAGATATTTCATTAAGCATCAAAATGGATAGAAAGCTCTAAAAGACTCTCATAACTCCAAGCCATCGCTCTCTCTCCCAAAAAGGTGTATAAACCCTCTACCTCAATTTCCCCTTCTATCCTCGCAAAGTTATCATACCTAGTATTCTCAGGCTGTTTGTCATCCCCTGAATCATCGTCTCTAAATTTTCTTGGCTCCGTGCAGCCATTTTTCATATTTTTGACTTCCATTCTTATTATTTCAATATATTCCAGGAGCTCTGGGGTTTTGGGGTTTTGGGGTTTTGGGG